GAGCTGGTTTTTCCCAGCTGTGCACTGGATATTGGATGTGCTCAATCTCTTCTCTCCCTGGAGCCTCTGGGAGTTGGGGCAGTGCTTTTAAATCACATTTTCTTGTGCTTACCTTGAATTCAGAGTGCCTCCCTGTCCTGCTGCTTTCAGCACGTGTTCTATTGTCATCCTCGGGTTTTTGTGTTTGTTTCTCCACTGATTTTTCCTGTGTAAGCTCACAGCCCTTTGGAACAGCTGGGAATGAACCTGAGTGCACCCAAACTTGAATTATGATGTGATTTTCCTTTTGTTTCAGCGTCCTTTGTCCCTGGGGGCTGATATTTCTATGTCTTCTGCAACCAAATACATCAATGGTGAGTATGAGAGCTCAGCACATCCTTAGGGCAGGGTTAGGTGGGAAAATGGGGAGGAATTCCTGGCTGGGAGGGTGGGGAGGCCTCTGGATCCCTGGCAGTGTCCAAGGCCAGGCTGGACATTGGGGTTTGGAGCAGCCTGGGATGGTGGGAGGTGTCCCTGGGGGTTTGTGGCAGGACCCTGGAGCAGCTGATGCCATTCTTGTCCCCTGTCATTTGTAGGGCACAGTGATGTTCTCATGGGCCTGGTCTCTGTAAACCGGGATGATCTCTATGAGAGGCTCAAATTCCTGCAGATTTGTAAGTCCAGACTGGGAATTCCTGACAGGAATCCTGGTGGGAAGGGTGTGCATGCACACAGGTGGGAAATCTGCCTGGGAATGTGACTTCAATGGGCACACTGAGTAAACTGAGTTTAATGAGTTGAACTGAGTAAAGTTCAATTTAAAAAACCTCCAACAAGTAAAACTCCAATAAAATGGAAGAAAATGCCAATAAAATGAGAGACATTGGTCTCCACTTCCCAAGCACTTCAGGAGAGCTCTGGGGCACATCCTGAAACCACTGAGGTGCCCACCTGCAGTTAGGGGGGTTTGGAGCTCACTCACCCATCAGGATGTGCCCAGTGCAGAATTTTCTTATCTCTGTT